TAGTTTATTTTGGAATGGATTAAAAAAAGAATGAATATAATTGAATATAATTTTAGGACAGATGTAATACTCTTTGAATCACCATGTGCAAAGATATACTCCGTATTATATTTTTAAAAAAAAAACTATATATTGTTCACATTGACAATTATCGTCTACAAACACTATTGTTTGCACATTTCCAAAACAACTATTGTCTGTCTTCGCAAGAAAGATCTATTGAAACCCCCTAGTGCAACCAACATTAAAATTGCATGCATACAGAATCTATCATTTCATTTTCATTTTCATTTACCCCAGTGCCGCAAATGCTCCCACCTACGGTGGGGTAGGGGGGATCGGATGTACGCAGTCTTACCCCTGTACTAAAGCACAGAGAGACTGTTTCCGGATGACCCATAGTGAAAATCGCATCCAAAATTGCATGGACTGACTGCTGCTTCATAACAAAGAAGCGCAGACAGTTTAGTGAGCCATTTTGCTTTATTTCATCATAATCTCAAACCAAAAAATAATGAATCTTTGGCTCCATTGCAAATGATGGAAAAACTTATTCCAATGCATACAGAATCTATGTGAAAAAAATTTATACAAAAAGCAGTAATTTGTTCACAAAGACAACTATTGTCTATGAACAGACATTGATTTGTAATTTGAACATCACATACACTGGTTTGTGTGCCATCTTGTACTTTGACGTAAAAATCAATGTCTCGTTCAAACATTAGTTATCTATGTCAGTGTATAGTTGTGTGGGTTGACCGAACATGTACACGATGTGTAGAGCAGCATGTAAACGAACCACTTTTGTTTCATCATTCATAAACCATAAGTAACTAGAGGGCATACAGTGTCATATCTTTCTGTAAACAGCAAGGTGAGATGTGATATGCCTAAGCTTTAGTTGAAGCAGTAGTGACTAATCACCAACCAGAAAATAAATACAGAATAACCAAGTTAGAAGAATACATGTGACTCCTCCAGATTTAACGTCCCATTGTTTGCTCCCCCGGAGGGACCATCGTCATCAAGATTGGTTGAGAATTAAATCCAGGATGAGGAACCCTGCGCCGAACTTCACGAGCTTCCTGACAGAGTGCACAAGCGTGACAGAACACATGAGTTGCGATATCGCAAGCAGACTCACATTGTTCACGCTTCATTTCATCCTCAACAAATGCACTCGACCATCCAAATGATCTGGCAAGCCCCTCACAACTTCCCTGTTGATAAAAGAATCACTCTCAGTTCATCATCGAAGCTATAAATTGTCAAGAAGGCCCTAGATATACTGCATAGTATCATATATAGTCAGTGTAACAAACTCTTCACACACCCTCACAATAAGACATCACACCCGAATAGTCAAATTTTCATAAGCCCATTTGCTATTCATACTTAGGGGGTGTCCCCAACTTGGATTCTAATTGAGTTTAAAATTCCATAAAAATACGAGTGTTCTCATTTTAAATTTCCAAGGATTTTTTTAAAATTCAGGTATCCTCAAACATTGCATGGATTTTATTTCAATTGATTTTGAAAGATGTTACTAGATTTATGCACCGTAATTGTGAATGTCCCAATCCAAGGAAAATCTTACTACCAGCCCTTGGATTTCAAAATCCATTAATAAAAAATCTACACAGCACAATCGTAACTACTCCTTCCAGGCCAAATCCCTTCGGCGGCTCCTTCTTCCGTCTTCATCGACGCTCATCTTCCTGCACTTCCTCCTTTATGTAATAATAATTCATAATCTCTCAATCCAGGTTAGAATAGGTTTCTTTTATTTCCACGAATTGAACGCCAATTTACTTTGGCCTGGACATTTGCATATGCAGAATATCTAGTTGAACATAAATGTTGGTTATAAGGTCGGAGAACACTCGAGTTAGGCAAATCATTGTCTATCTTTATGCACAAATCATTGGAGCTTTTGTTCAACTGTAATCAGTCTTACTATTTGCATTTCTTTTGAGGCAGAGCATTTATGAATTATAAATTTGTTAGTGAGGCATGTTATCACGAAGAAACTGGAGTCTGAAATCCTTTACAAATCCACATATTTCTGTGATATAGAATTCCACAGGATTCTACAACAATCAAATGGAGTCTATGGAATTCTATTAGAATCAGTAGAATCTAAAATCATTTAAAATCATTCAAAATCAAGGTTGGGGAGAACCCCCTTAGCCAATATAAGACTTCAAGTTTTATATTAAGAGGTCAAGATAAGATAAGAAGTTCAATCTTATAGATTGAATTGTTAATTCATAGTAAGCTACTAAGCCTATGTTCAAACATCAGCAGTAAATTAGTGAAAATCTGCATGTTTATTTCAACCCTTTAAGAGGATGCTTGGCATAAATAAATATGAATCGTGTAATAATGTACCTCCAAATTAAACTTGCGGCGGATAGCTGTACGGCTATGAGAGGAGAACCAAGGAGCAAGGCAGTTCCAACCAAAACAAGAACTTCCAATCAGGTATAAACCAGCATAGTGCAAGCAGTGGCTTGAGAAAGAGCCGGGGTCAGAGCGAATCCTCTCAACATTGCTTCCATAGAGCACACAAGGAGCCACACTACCCAGTAAACCTGATCGTCCATATTCATCATTCCCAGTTTAGCCGAATTAACGGAAGAGGATAACATAGAAACAGATCCCGTTTCTCCATCTCTCCCCAAAAGACCACCTGTGCCTATCTTTGGGGATAGGCGGAGAAACCTTACGTAAAGGTATAACATAGTAAATCAATTAAACGCATCCTTATGGCCTATCAGAGACTTGGACTTGGGGTTAAACATAAGAATGATGTTCTTAAGGCTTATCAAAATCCAATTATTAGTTTGAGCTTCATGCATTCTAATTTCATAAAAAGATAATAGGACTTCAATATCAATCTAAAAGGCAACCATATCATCTAGATTAGTGAACCAATTTCATATATATCAGGGATTAGTTTGTAATTTTATATTGATCTGATATATGATGCCTCTTTACGTTTATGGCCTAAAACCAAACAATCACCAAGAATTAAACATTCGATGCCTAAATATTGAATCTTTACTAAATAGAATGGCGAATTAAAGACTCACAAACTTCAAGATCGCTGCTGCAGAACTCATCATTCCGGCCAAGACAAGAACAGACGCCGGAATCCCACTCCGCCCTGCACATGACCGGCTCACCCATCACGCTGTGTCCCACGGGTAGCCCACCGGCGGTCCACCCCATCGGAACAAACGCTGGTTGATGCTTCCCCGGATCCTCTTTCGGCGGAGGAAATGGAGCTGCCGTTATAGCGGCGGTGGAAGGTTTCTTCTCCAGAAACGCTGAAGCAGCCGATGCGGGGACCGTGGCGGTGGAGCAATTGCTGTCATTTATTGCTTCCGAGTCTTTTTTATTCGGTAAAAGGGGGCTCGATTCTTCGAAATTGGCCATATTAACAAGAAGCTTCAAAAGAAATGCAGAAATTTCTCCAGTAATTGAAACGCCGAACGCGTAATGCAAAAACCCGATGGATTTGTTAGGTTATCCCTGGATATGAACGTTTAAATATATGGTCGTATATACAATGTGAATTTTATGTACAGGAGAATCACAAAGAGGAACAACCTCAAAATTCTGACAATGGCATATGTGTGTTTAGAGCAGGGTGTGGTTAACGAGAAGGTCGGGCAGTCATGGAATCTATCTGTTTATTGGTTAATGGTGAGTGCTCAATACCGATTCAAGAATGAATTATTATAATTCATTATTTATAATTGAGATTTTTTTCTTAGATATTACAAATAAAAATAAATTTGATACACAAAAATGTGACTTAATAAGTATTAGTGAATATAATTATGTTCAATGTTTACATCATAAGAACTTATACTCTGTATTTACTTTCTACGATATAAATTTTGAACACAGTTGTAGATACTAATAATTACATGGAACGTATTAAGTAATATTTTGCCTATGACATTTTAAAGACTAATGTTTACAGAATTATTTCTTTATAATTTTATTTAAATTTAACTAATTTAAATGCAATATTATAATTGAACCATATGAACATAGTATGGATCATGGATGTTCATATAATACACTATCGTATTTGTAGGGAAAAGTACGAAAAATGTATTTACGATTAGTCACATTAGTAGCCACTCAAATTGTAGGAAAGTGAAAAAAAAATCGAAAAAATGTGGTGGTTTGGAGGTTGCCTTGACGATGCGACATATTTTTTATATTTTAATTCATAGACACTTTTGAAAATCAGAATTATTGTTCATCGTCTTTTCCTGGTAATTTCTAACGGCGTTGGACGTCGGTCGCCTAGAAAAGTAAACTTTCCCGCGGAAAATTCAATGTCAGCGTCATCTTTTTTGAAATATATTTTTACCGAAAAGTGTACTTTTAGTCTGAGTTGTTTTCATTATTTGCCTTATAACTTTAGTGACTTGCGAATTTGATCCTGTAATTAAGAAATCTTTGCGATTTAAGGATCCCCGACTTGCCCCTTGCCATCTCCACGAGTTATGCCAGTCAATTTTGATAATGTTTTAAAGGATGGGAGGAGTTTTTGGAATTTGACATTCTCTTTTTCCATTGTTGGGCCAGTATGGTTGGGGGATTTCGGAGGGAAGGGAAGGGGAGGAGTCATATTTAAATTCAAAATATTTTTTCCATTTTAAAAAATTCAAATAAAGTGAAGACAAATTAGTATATAAAAATACATGGTTTAACTAATTTTATAGTTATTTGAAGTTTAAAACTAAAACATTCAGATAAATTAATAAAATAAAAAATCAATCCTCTCCTTCCCTCCCCTCCGAAATCCCCCAACCAAACTGGGGGTTAAAGTACAAGGAAAAAACTTCTAATATGACAAAACACGGAAAAAAGACATTGTGATTTGTAAATGATAGTGTAATATATGATACTTTTTCCCTCCTTTATTTAAGTTCCTAGTTTGACTTCAAACATATTAAGCGAATAAATTTATTGAGGGGTAAATTTACTATAGAGTATACTGTTGTGACACTGTTTTGCACTGTTTTGGCACTGCTTTGCACTGTTTTGGTGTGAATTTCTTTGTCAAATAAGAAAGTGTGAACATGTTTATAACATCCAAAAAGGAAATAAGAACTTAGGGAAAACTGTCAAATAGGTCCTCCAACTTTCATAAAAAGGTCAATTAAGTCCTTCTATAGGAGGTTCTGCCCGGCCGTCGCGATTTGGGGAAGTTCCCGGTGAAATTTTTTGATGAAATTTTTTGAGCATCTTATTCACCAAGTCTAATTTACTCATACCAAATTTCAGCTAAAAAATCAATCGGGAACACATTCAAATTAATTCTTGAAGGTAACTGCGCATTTTTGCGTTCTCGAATTAATTTGGATGTGCTCCCGATTAAATTTTTAGCTGAAATTTGGTATGAGTAAACTAGACTTGATGAATAAGATGCTCATAAAATTTCATCAAAAAATTCCACCGGGAACCGCCCCAAATCGCGACGACCAGACAGAGTCTCCTATAGAAGGACTTAATTGACTTTTTTATGAAAGTTCGAGGACCTATTTGACAGTTTTCCCAAGAACTTAAATAGGGGACGGACAGAGTAAAATTCCGTAAACCAAGCATCTATATAGTGTGATTTCCCTGATATACATGTGGATATGATCTATATATGTAAATCACTGCAAAAGCAAATCCACAAGCTTAGTCCCTCAACTTCATCATATCCGGTACATTTTCTTCTTCTTCATGATGATGACGTTGATCCCCCAACTCAATAACGATATTTCTTTCCCTACAATACGAATTGCGACGGAAACCATAAATTAAACTTTTAACGTAAACAGGATGAATTAGAACTTATAAGAAAACATGGTACCTACTTCAAATTCTCTGTACGTAGCGTTACATAAAAGTGGTAAACTAAGTTTTGACTTTATTTGAATTGCGTAAGAAATTAAGAAAAATAGTACGGGAGTAACGTTTTTGAACTTCCAAAAAAGAGAAATTTAATGCGTCCACTCTTATATCCACTTTATACACATCTATGTTTGTGATTTTTTTTGTCTGTAAATTCGGTTCACATATAAAATATGTGTTATTTTGGTTGTGCAGATTTTGCATAAAGAAAACTTGTCTATGAATTCACAAACAAAAAAAACTTTCACAAAAACTGGTGAGTATAAAAATAGGTATAAGAGTGAACACAAATATCATTTTTGAGTGGGATTAAGGGAGTATGTATATAGACTTTCGAGGATAAGATATTTAGTTATCTTACAATAATATTTCCATTGCTAGGAGCGGTTTTTGTGGTCTTGGAAAATTTGTGACTTTTGTGGTGATGAATGACATTCCGGCGCCGGGTGCCGCTGGGGATGCTGGTATGCGTTTCGGGGCCACGGTAATCGACATCGTAAACCGCCATAGATAAAGACGAAGCGAAAAGGAAGAAGAAGAGAATGATAGTTGTAAAGCTTCTAATAATTCCCATTGTGAGAAAACTGGAGGAGAGAGTATTGGAGAAGGACGTATGGTAGAGTAGGGGTTTTGTAGGAGTAGTGAAAGGAGGGAATGGTCATGGAAGAAGCATGTAAACATTGCACAAACCATTTTAATTCACATTTCGCTTCAATCCGTCCCCATCGCAATTGCTATATACTATCGTATTAATAGTTGCCAGGTCTTTGACGTTGAAACATGTAACTTCATTATGAGCCCGTTTGGTAACACCCCAATAGGCTCTATTGGCGAATTCTGCTGAAATTGTGAAGTTCTGGGTGAAGTGGCTGTATTGACTGATTCTGCTTATTTGTGGAAAATTGGAAAGAGAATTTAAAATATATTTTATTAATAAAATAAATTAAAAATTATATGAAAAAGTAGTTCACCCAAAACTAACGTGTTTGGTGAAAAAGATGGTTGATAAGACTGAAAAGCCAGAAATCATGCATACCAAACAGACTCTATATATATGAATCTCCACCTTGGCCCCGGGATATATTTTAGCCAAAATTTGTGATACTCTCAACTATCATGTTCATATAAATCAATTAAAACATTTCATTGGAGTACGTAATTTATAAACATAAATTCATGATAGTTTAATATCTTCATTTTAAAGGTTACCATAGCATTTATTTTATCTCTAATAAAAACTGAAGGCTCTCTCTAGGTTTTAGCCTAGTTTTTTCCGGCGGCGGCCTATCCAGGTCGTGGGTTCGGCCGATCTCTCCCCGGTAGACAACTTATCTCATATATCTTCTCATGGTATTGAGTTCTGTTGTCATCGCGGGGTTTGTTTGTTTCGTTTTTGTTCTCTTTCTGACTTGCCATTGCGGTGAATCTGGATTGTGTCTGGACGAAGCTTTTGGTTTTTCTTCTTTACAAGAGCAGCGAACAAGCAAGGAATCTTTCAGGAGGGATTGAGGCTTCTGATTTTGGCAGGGGACGGGTTTAGCAAGGGGGAGATGGGGTGCTGCAGAATGTTGAAGACGAAGACGAGTTGTTATTCTTCGGCAGTTTGGGAACGAGCTTTCACGAAACAAATGGCTATTGGTGAAAGCATGAAGTTTCTGGTGGTCGACATCGTGCTGTCGGACTGGAAATCAAATTTCAGGGGTTCATTGGTGGCCTATGTGTGAAAGAAGACGAAGGGATGTTGATCCGCCCACCTCCAGAACCGCCGCCTTGGAGGAATTCTGCGACTAGGGTTTGGACGAGTATTTCTATTTCTGCTGAGTCGATTGTGTTTTTTTTTTATTTTATTTCGATTGTGTTTTGTTGCTTATTTATTTTATGTTGTAAGACTTTTGCACTTGGATTGGGGGATGAGAGGCCTGCGGTAATCGTCGTGGTTTTGAATATGCCCAATTTAGAATTAGCGAGTTATATTGCTTTGTCAAAGGTGATTAACTCAGAGTCTCGTCCACGGGCGGATTGTTACATGTGATCCTTTTGTTATTTCAACCCTTTTCTGAGTGCTTTTTATGAATGAATGTCCGTTCGATGATAAAAAAAAGGAGAGATATTTTGTATGAATGAATGAGTGCTTTTTGTAATTATAAGTTATGAGAGCAGTTCACATCAGGAACTCCTGATGAGAACCCCCGTGCGGACAAGACCATCAGAGGGTCTTCCCGGTGGAATTTTTTGATGAAATTTTTTGAGCATGTTCCTCATCAAGTCTAGTTTGCCCATACCAAATTTCAGCTCAAAATGCCATCGGGAAGGCAGTCAAATAAATCCTGGAAAAATATGGTGCATTCTGCGCACATATAATGTGCAGTATGTTTGTAGAATTTATTTGACTGCCTTCCCGATAGAATTTTGAGCTGAAATTTGGTATGGACAAACTAGACTTCATGAGGAACATGCTCAAAAAATTTCATCAAAAAATTCCACCGGGAAGACCCTCTGATGGTCTTGTCCGCACGGGGGTTCTCATCAGGAACTCCTGATGTGAACTGCCCTCTATAAGTTATACTCCGTAACACATATGATTGGTCCATAACATTATTTCATTATTTATTTATATTTTAATTGTTTAATTACAATATTTATTTTAAAGGTTTCCCGGTGCACATTTATGAGAGGTGGGGTGTGGGTATCGGGGTGAGAGATCTCGCACGTTTGATACCGGACGAAGAGAGTTCAATTTTGTTCACCCCTCCTTGGAGGGTGAACATAACTCCCCTCCCTATTTGCTTGTCATGTGGCAAAAAAAGAAATGAAATGCCAAATGGCAACATTTGAGCTATGGGAGTGATGTTCATCCTCCAAGGAGGGGTGAACAAAATTGCGCTCGGACGAAGATAGCAATATAGCATAGCATATGCATTTGGCTTCTTCGTTATGCTTAGTCATTTGACCATATTGACTTTTATAGATAAAACCAAATCAACTTTAGTGATTAATTGCTAGCACATAACTACATAAGTATATTACTACATAGGGGCTGTTTGGATCTGATTCTTAAAATTGTTTCTGCTCCTTCAGGGGCAGAAACAGAAGCTGGAGTGTTTGGGTAAAAGTGCATAAATGATTCTGGTATTCAAATTTACTTCTAGAATTAGTTTTTTTAGAAGTTGGGGGTGACCAGCTTCTGAAAAACTGATTCTGCTTCTGCTTTAAAAAAAGCATAAGCAGAATCAGTTCCAAACACCCCCATATTCGGTAGTTCGGTACCGTATTTCAAATAAGAAATGTTTGATTTACACCTTTTTGGATATATTATTGGTACGCTTTCTTTGTCTGCATTGATAAAGTTGTCTGTATACAAACAAATTGTCTCCACATACAAAAGTTATTTGTATACAAATAACTTTACCTTTGATAGATTAAGTGTATTAATGGTATACACACACAAATTGTACACCAATAATTTTTCATTTGGGAAAATCACATTTTTAGTCCTTGAAATAGTCACGAAAATGAAATGTCGGACCCGTATTTCTGATATTGTAAATGTCACACCTCAATTGTCCAAATTGTTGTAAATGTGGTCCTTTAAGAAGTGAAATGTACTCTCGCCCAATTGTATGTTTCACCCATCAAAAGACCACATTTACATCATTTAGAACAATTGAGGGACAACATTTACAAATTAGGGAATATGGATCCGACATTTCATTTTCGTAACTATATCAGGGATTAAAAGTACGTTTTCCCTTTTTATTTCAAATTAGTTGTGGCAGGTGGGGATTGTAACAGCCATTTATGGATAAAAGCTTTTCAAGTTCATGTTTGGGGATAAATTTTTAGTCAGAATATAGTGTTTATTTCATATTCTAAATGTTCCAATTTGTTATTCAAATAAAAAATGTTCCAATTTGTATTAGTAATTGAAACATATGTACGGAGAATCTAAAACTAAACTAGAAATTCTATAAAAATGTAAATTATGGCGCTTTCAACCCAAACACGCTACCATTAATTAGCAGCGTTAGTAATGTAAGGAAAGTAGCGTTTTTTCCAAACACTAATATCCAAAGAACCCAAGGTACATTTATGCTACACTTTTAAAGGCCAAAGGTGAAGAATAAGTGAAGTATACTTTTAAAGTGTGTGATGTCTTCTAAAACATTAAATAAATTAGAAAAATGCTTTGGGTACACAAAATGTGTACACATGTTCGTCCTTCACAGAAATTTTGTTTGTCACAGACAACTCATTTCTGTGAAGGACGGACAAAATTTGAGTTGTCTATGCTAGACAAAATTTCTGTGAAGGACGGACATGTGTACACATTTTGTGTACACATTTTGTGTACCCCAAACAAAACTCTAAATAAATTAAGACGGATGCAATACGATAGAGAACACTATCTTATTTAGTTTTAGATAATAAGGATTGCCAATAATACGTATGGTAGGGTTGAAATTGAAGTTTAATTAAGGCCTGCTAGTCCTGCTACTGCTACACATTCCTCATTAACTCATTACTTATTAGAAGTAGGCCGCTAGTAACATCAACTTAATGTTTAATACTTTAATTGATTCACGATAAGATTCATGATATGTATTAAGAAGTTGGCAAAATAATTGCAAACACGATGCAACACCGTGAAGGTAGGAAGAATCATTAAGAGCAAGACCTCCATCATCTTCCCTTGATGTATAGCGGGTTTCGAATACGAGACCTCACAAACAGCTGGGCTGGTATGCTCGTTCCACTTCCAATTTGAAACTGTACTTCATGTACACCCTCTACCTTAATTACACACCGTATATGTGCCAAATTTTTTCTGTCCACAGGGAAAAAATTGAAGGAAAAAAAAGGATTAATAGTTTAGTTTATTTCAAACTATTATCAAATTTTCAAATCTATCATATTATTTCACTTTTATCAAAAAAAGACTTAAACTTCATCTCTCTCAACAATTATACTTTTTTTTAAAGGACAACAATTATACTTTTCTTTTTTGTTTTTTCAAAATTACAAATTTTTATCAATACCAATAAAATATAAGCAATACAAATTTGTTAATTAAAAAGTGAAAAGAAGTAAAAAAAAATTGTGAAATATAAATACTCTCTCTGTTCTCTAATAGATGGGAGTATAGGCTTTGACACAAGATTTAAGATGGAATTAATAGGGGTATGATAAAAGGTGTAGTAGGTTGTGTGTAAAGGAAAAAGTATGAAAGAAAATGAAAAAGTATGAAAGAGAATGAGGGTAAATGGGTATATTTATTGGAAAAAAATTACCAAAAGTGAAAAGGGGGGCAACTAATAGAGAACATCTCATGATGGAAAGAGGGCCAAATATTAGAGAACGGAGGGAGTATGATTTTCTTCTTAAGTCTTACAAATTCATCCGTTGAAAGTGTAATTGTGAGGAAAGTTGAAGTTTATGTCTTTTTTAAATAAAAGTCAAAGTATGAGATAAATTTGTGAATTTGATGATAGTTGGAGATATATTTGTCTAACAATCCAAAAAAACATGTTCACAACAATTTAGGAGTGGTGCCTTAAGTAGGGCTGCACAAGAATAACCTGAACCCGCATAACCCGCCCGATCCAACCTTACCCGACCCTATTTCATTGGGTATTTGATTTTAAAAAATATTCATGAGTTAAATATGTTTGAACCCGCACCTAATGGGTAGGGTTGCGGAATTAAAATCTCCAACCTGATAGTACC